GAACTTTAATTGGAAACTGAAAAATCAACGGTGTCAGATTCGAAAGCTTCTCAAGAACTAGAAAAGTGTGCCACGATTTGGGACAACTATTTATGATAACAAATAAATACAGATAAAATTCATTTCGTTTGCGAAGGGGGTAGTGATTAACTTTTTTACCTTTTTCGCTCATTACTCAACCCCCCCCCCCCCCGGTAAATATTGGGCAGTCCCTAATAACATGGAACCCCCGCCTCCCCCCGGTAAATATTGGGCAGTCCCTAATAACATGGAACTTGGAAACGAGAAAAAAACTGAATTCATAATAATGGTAGCCCTTCTTTCGATATCACCCCTGCTTGAGGACCTTCGTTTTTTAAAATAATCAAGTTTGATATACCCGTTGGCGTTGCCCTTTTAGGATAGCTCTAGGGCTCCGTTTTCATGGTAAACACAAAATAGACAACCTACATGCGTCAAGTCCATTTATTATTTCAAATTCAATGTGACAAGTCTAATGTGTTATACAGTATTTTGTGGTGTATAAAACCTCTGGGTAACGTTAGGAGATCGGAACCATTTGTTGGATCTGTTCGCTTATGATCTTCATTCTTTGGGCTCTAACTGGATCTTGCTTATCAATAAACACTGCCAACTTTCCCTAAAAAAATTAAATAATGTGTAAATCCGTTTCTGGATGTACACAGGCTAAAACAATATAAGCCAATATAGGACATATAGAAAGCCCTCTCATAATAGCGCTTGCTGTTGCAGCATTCGTTGATATATATTAGATGATGTTTACAGGCCTGGAAAACTACACAAATACTTCACAAGAATTCACTAAATAACTGCGCAATAAACACTATTGACTTTCACTTTCACGTTGAGATTGCCTTACCAAACTTTTCGAAACTCTCATAAACTTACTATCTGACAAGTTTACTTACGACGCCTCCGTTCTGCGCTAGCCAGGGTACAATCGTCTTCCGCAAAACAATCGTTATCTCATCGATGTCTGACAGCCATCGCTGAAACTTGGAGGGTCCGGGACATAAACACATACGTCTATACGCCAATTCACAGGAGAACAACAATATCGACAGAATTACATTCCATGACAGCTGTCCTTTGCATACTTTTTCACAATACATTTCTACGTCTCTTCTAATACTTGAAGTATTTCCTTGTGTTGCTTGATCGGTTAATGCCTTTTCTAATCGTTCTGAAAATTTCAGCTCGGACAGATATTTTGAAACAGATCTTTGATTATCGGACGCCATCGACGGAGAGGGCAAACTGCCGTCTCGGAAGTCAACATATTGTGAGAGAATCATAATGATTTGAAGTTCGCACTCGTACTTTGTGATCTTAGAAGATAGATCAGGACGGTCAATAGCATCTGTAAAGTCTTTTAAACAAGTCAAATCACATCTAAACATGTCTTCTTTCGATTGAATTAGTTCGTAAAATCCTTTTCTGAAATTTTGGGTACTTGGATTCCTCATCAGCTGAAATTCGTCGAAGTAATGTCCAAACATAGTTTTTTCGCTTACCGTTAAACACGCCATCAATGAAATAAATATGGCATTTTTAATACTTTGTATTGAATGTAAGTTGATCATAATTTGTATGCAACTATCGAGGTAATTAATCGGTAATTAATGAAATGAAGGACTTTTATATACTTGTGAATATGACGTGAAGTTTCGATTGGTCAAATAAAGTTGGGGAAATCCCGGAACAAATTTATTCTTACTGTAAACATATGACGGCATAGTTCGAAGACACATTTTTTACATTGTATTAAATTTATTATCTAGATTGTCTTCGCAAAAATCTGATTACAAAGTTCTTTTGAAACTCTTCGCTGCACATCGAGAGGAATAATACCACGAAAACATAACTTCCTAGTTGTGATTTATAGCAGTGATTCACACGCATCATTTCACTTCTATTGTTATTTTTCTTGGAAAAATGTCGGAAGCAGACATCATCATGTGAATGGCAAGTCAGCATTTTCCTTTAATAAAATGCAAATGTGACGATTAATAATGATGATGATCCAATTCGTTATGTGACGCTTAAGTAAATTATTTCCATTACTCTGAGATGGTTGATCATTGAAACCACACCCACCTTATCGAAGTAAGATCTGTCATTGCCCATATATGGTGCTGATGACTTGAGAGCACCTTGAGGCATCTGCAGGGACCCCATGCTCAGACCACCGAGTGGTTGACGTCCTGAGGGTGGTGCATACTGGGATTGGTGCTGCTTTTTCACCAAAATTGAGGACACATCGATTTTATTACCTGACCGTAGTTGCTCACAAATACTCTGAAAACGAGAATTATTTTAGTTAAGTTAGAGATACTTAACGTCTAAAATCCCTCAAAATCACATAAAACAGTGTTTGATTTATCAACGACCATTAAAAAAAAAACTTTCATACTTTGCCTGTTATTCCGTCAATGCGCAAATGCATGATGGTTTTTTTTCTAGTCGTTATCTTAGAATGTGGCATCCTGGGAAACTCAGATGCTTTTGAGAATGTACCAAAAAAGCTCCTGGGTTTCCGAGGATAAAACAGCCGAGTGCAACCATACAAAGTGCGAAGGCATGTGTTTTCTTTGGTTATTATACTGTAGAGAAATTGTAAACTATACACCACGGAGACTCGGGTCGTTTGAGCATCCCCAGAGGAACCATTACTCCTGAATTTATAACATACCTTGCTTGCAACTCGAATGGAACGAGGTGAATTAACATGAGCCTGCGCTAGCTCTAGAAGGACGTTGAAAAGTTGTTCTTCATTTGGCTCAGCGGCTGTAAAAACGAATGGTCGGTCATTTAACGGAGAAGTCCAAAGAAGCGAAAAACATATATATGTATTAAAATACCTTTTCCTGAAGACAGAAATGGGTGCTGTAGTAGATGTGGGATTGTATAACGTTCGCGAGGATTTCTAATCAAAGAACCCTTAAATACAATGATAGAAAAGCCACAATGAGATGGACTATTTGAAGCTATTCGTACGTTGGTAACATCAAACGCTGATATCTTAGCTAAACAAGAACACATAAAATATGCGCGCTCAGCCTTGTATATATATATCCTCGACGCTTTCATTATGAAATACGTGCAGGATCGCTTGCAGCTCGCCACATGAGAAAACAACAAAATGTACCACACATTGACTCTACAGCCATTTGCAGAATTCATTTATAACAAAGTAAAATGAAAATAGCAAAGAAGGAAGAAGACAGTTGGTTACTGTCATTATGATGATGATTAATAATATTATTATTGTATTATTAATACCTTTAATACGTCAAGGAGCTTGGAATTGCCGATTGGAGGAAAATCAATTGCATAGTTCTCGTCGATGATACACTGTAATTTCATGGCTTGGTTGGTGATGTGTTGGAAAGGTGTTCGACCGTATACCATCGCGTATAGTATACAACCTAACGACCATACGTCACTAGGACGACCGATCTATATATGGAAAGAACGTACCCCATCTCAAGTATGCATCGTTATTTGTTTTAGAACAATAGAACAAAGAAATTGAGATTGAATGGACTAGTGGGGGTACGGTAATCAAATGTACTAAGTCCCACGTACACTCGAGAGCCTTTTAGAGTTTCCCGTGAATGATATCTTGCTTTCTGATTGGTTCAAAATCAAAGATGGAGAATTTTCGTATGTGAGAAAATCGCGCTAAGGCTCTTGGGTGCACTTAATTGAAATGGGCGCGGCAAAGAAAGAGAAAGGAAGGTTTACATTTCTTTTTTTCTTTTTGAAAATTAGCTATTTATTTCAACGCTTTTCTCTCCGTTCACCGACTTTCAGACACTTTCCGTCTCCTTTTCCGGTTACTTCGCTAACAGTTTTTGTCATGTTTCAAATATTCTGGAAATGGTACCTGATATTATAGTTTACCTTTGTACATGGTCGTGATCGTCCAGTGTTGGGGTTCATTGAACCAGAAATATCCTGGAAGGCTTCTGGCGACATGAAGTTTAGTGTTCCGACCTGAGTATCTCGCTGTATACTTGTTTGGTCAGCCTATAGACAAAGAGAGTGTTCAAGTATAGACAAAGAGAGTGTTCAAGTAAAGAAGACATTGTTCCTAAACGAGTGCTAGCAGTTTTCCCCTGAAACTAAATGTTGTTTAATACGAAACTTGACCAAAACATTGGAAAGGTTTTTTTGGCATTCCTATAAATTTACAAATGTCTTTTATTCAAGAATTGTTTTGTTTGTTTTGTTGTTGCTTTATTTTTCTTTTTTCATGTCCATTCTTTACCTGAATAGAGTTGGCAATTCCAAAGTCGATCAGTTTTAATCTTCCCTCGACAAAAAGAAAGTTGGCGGGTTTTAAATCACTATGAATGATTCCTTCATTGTGGATGACATTGACGGCTTCCAGCATCTGTTGCCAGTASGTCTTGAGTTCTGTTTCTGTAAAAGTACTGCGATTTTTKCGAAGGAAGCCTGCAAGGTCGATGCTTCCACATTCAAGGACCAATATTATACTGTTTTCTTCTTTCTTTTGTTCCCTAAAAAAAGAAAAATATATTTAAGTATAGGTTGTACCAGAAATATGTGTTTAAAAGTAAGCCAAACAGGACTTTTCAAAGTCGGTTTCAATATCGTTTTCATTTGCGCTATGGATTAAATACTGAAGTAAAAATTANATTGACTGGTTTGTCAGTATGAAAGTCATTTTCAGCCATTTGTCTGCCTGAAGCACCTTTGGTTGCAACTGAAACAGGAGGACAAACTTGATTGACTGGTTTGCCAATGTGAAAGTCATTTCCAGCCATTTGTCCACAACAGTTTGGTTGTTTTTGTTTTAAATTTTCTTGGGAATTTAGGCTGTYGTTTTCACTCTTTCTAGCCTGATAATCTTTGTCAGCAGTGCTTCCTKCATTTGACTTCCAAWTTTTCTCTTGCATTGGAGTACATGGAATCTTTGGGACTTGTTTTTCAATGGAGATTTGCTCTAAGTTTTCAGCCAAACCCAAGGATGGTTTATGGTGAGAAATATTCAAGTTAGTGTCCACAGCCTTCGATTTATCATGAATATTGTTTTTCATTGAAATATCAGAGAAAGGCTTCCTGCACCCAAGTGAATYAATGCTATTTGTATTTTTCTGCTCTATGTTTAAATGTTCRGGATTTTCAGAATGAATTTCATTCTCCACAACYACTGACAAAGTGCTATTACCAAACAATTCCTGCTTTATGTCTTCTGTTTTAGAGTTTGGTGTTTCATTTTGACTTGTTGTTGTAGCTGTTTTATCTGGACAGTTTGAATTTTGTGAAGAATTTTCTGTTGTGATACATGTTGTATGTTCAATGGGCTTGAAACTATCCATGATATCTTCATCCTTTTCTTCTTCAAGTGATTGTACAGGTTTTCCTCTCACTGGTGGTCCCATGAGCATAAAGCTTTTACCAATCCCTAACCTAGAGCTGGGCTTCCTGACTGACAAATTCATGCTGTTTKAGAGGCTTTTACTTCCAACTACAAAGCAAAGTTGAAGAAATCACTCTAAGCATAACAATAACATCAAAAATACCATTCACAAACACATAAAAATGACTACTTCAGGCAATATTCAAATGTMGGTAAGTCAAGATTTAGTTATGATATGTTTATTACCTGTTCTGCAGTCAGGAGTTGCTTTTAATGATGGTTTAGTTGTTGTCATGCTTCGGTTTGGCTTTACAATGTGATGAAAAGGTGCAGTGACGGTATCTTCACCACTACTGCTGCTACTGATRCGATTCMGTCTTTGCTTTGAAGGCTCATCTAGGGTTTGTGGAAGTTTAAATGATACGACTCCAGTGTCAGCTTTTGAAGAAGGCATATCAGTGGTGTTATCTTCACCTTCCAAAACAAACAAACAAAAAATATAAGCATTACATACATAGTGCATCACTGCTTTTTGAGTGGAAACATGCAGCATACTGSTGCAAATTTCTTGTCACCACTACAAATTCTCCTTGCTAGAACTTACCTATCAATTTTTCAGTTGTCATTTCATTGTCGCTCATCACAGTTGTTAGAGGGATAGATGGTCTAGATMTAACTGTTCGYGTCACAGTCCCAGTAAAGATCAATTCCTCTGTTTCATCRTCTAGCAGCCTGTCATTGCCTTGATCACAACTTATGAGTGCCTGATTCAAGATGTCRGAAGGTTCTGCCATGTTTGTCTTRCCTTTGCGCAAGTGGTTCCTGCACTTATCCCGATTTCCTGTGAAATATTTTAACTGTTTAGTTAAAGAGCGTCTGACTAGGYAGGTCACACGTGCCATGTAAAACATTTGAGCTTTATGAGTTTTTGATTCTTGTCTTTGACAATTTTCTGGCATGTTTTTAAATTGTGTCATTGAAAAATCGTTTACTACTGTAGACTGTCCTGAATGCATGGTCATATGTGTAGATYTAAACCTTCAGTCCTGTCTGCATTTAATCTTACCCTTATCAAGCTCAAACTGTGCCCATGCAATRTAGACAATAGCAAATCTCTTGACATTGCATCTAGCTATACGAAATAGTTCTCTGGCGTCTTCAGCACTGCTCATTCTACAAAACATATGAAATATTTCAGCATTTTCCAAGCAATGAGTGCAGATCTTCATTTCTAAACTTTAAGACTGTCTAAATATATCTTTTTTAATGATCTTAAGTAACAGAATAKCATAGMGTTAAGACATTTTCTGAAGAATATYCCTACCCTTGTAATTTTGCATACTCGACCAACAGCCTTGCATAGCAAACATTTTTWCGATGTTCGTCGGGAGAGATAGCACTTGTGGCTTTTTCGTACAGACAAAGTAGATCTTCATACTTCGGGGACTTCTTCTTGGATTTTCTAATAAAATCGATCCAGTCTTCAGGCTTATTTCCGTTCTGTTCTATAGCCGCTAGAGCGACTTTGACGTCCATGTTTTTGATCGATAACAAGAAGCTCTGTTCGAAGTGAGCGCTCCTTTGAAAAGAAGCAATTTGATTGGTTAGCGAACTTGAAATACAAGATTGTGATTGGTTGGCTGKATTCAAACGTYTTTTCTGGTCACGTGGCTRRTTGACTGCTTCTACTGACARGAAAAGAAAAACATATGGCCAAAACAGTGAAGATTTTCAGACATTTATTTTTAATTTAAACCAATATGAGCAAGCTTAACACTCACCTAAAGAAACTAGCCGCGTTATGTTATCGACATAAGTTTCTTATCGAGCGTACTGTCGAAACAACAGAACGTTCTTTCTTTGAATATGGTCCTCTTGGTGCAGAGTTGAGAAGGAACCTGAAAAATCTTTGGTGGCAAGATGTAGTAACCTCCAGAGAAACAGTTCAAGGTCTTGAATTGTCCATGTTCGCCACAGATGARCTGCTTAACATACAGAATGAACCAAAACACAGAATGGTTGATGTTGAAAGTCTTWCTGAAAAACTCCTTTCTTTTTCGCTTCAAAACCATTCAAAAGAAGCAGAAAATGCAAAGAAGGATTTGAAAAAGATTATATTACAAAATTCAKTACCTCTGAGAACACSCAGTTGTAATTTTTTGGACAATTTTGGAAATTCTTCAGCAGACTCATCGCTTGCAATGCCTGCTGGGTATGCATGGCATACTAAGCAAGTTTCTATGGAGACSGGTGAACATGACATTTTGAGGTTGGGATAGTTTTTACATCAAACTATTATTAATTGGAGCTAAGTAAAAGCTGCTACATATTACTCTTAATATCATATAGCCAATGTAATTATTGTTTTATTATGGTGGGAACTAGCGGTAATCTAGTGTGAGCTGCGTCTGTGTTCTAAAGAAACAGTTGTGTAAAAAAGATAAATTAAACACTGTAAAAAAAATTGTGTGAAATAACTTACTGACGTTTCGGACATTAATCCTTCGTCTTTTTACACTATTGTTTTATTAGAATATTGAAATATGTTCAGTAAAAAACATACCAATAATCTGGTTGCATTATCTGGTATCTTTCTTTTTCGAAAAAAACATACATTACATGAATTTATTTACAACTAATGAGCGACATACTAAGTATCATCTGGAATCTATTCAATTTRCTTTAGAAAGAAAGATATAGCAATTCTGGGTACTTTATTTATTGACCACTCTTCATTTTTCATTTACAGAAGCCTTGAAAGTGAACTTCTTTGTTTACAATTCCTATGTGGAGTTAGGTCTTTGAAGTATTGGCTCAATTTCTGGAGAAGACAAAGATTCATTTGGTGGAGAAAACTGGCCAATGTGCCTTCAAACTTTTCCTCRTATGATGTTCCACAGAAGAATAATAATGGGAATCTGATAAYCAAGAATCAGGTAATGTGATTGTTACAACCTATTTTTAACACTATTCATTCTATATCAAGATAACTCTTGGGAAACAGTTTTGTGACTAGGGCTCCATATGGGTTTAGAGTACCCTTCTATACTGAAATGTTTTCCTGGGAGGACTAGACTACAGGCCTTCCACTCTATAACWAAGTAAGGTATCATTTTGAGTTTTGGCTTAATGAAAGCAAGTGTTATAATCAATGGTTGGAAGACCTACAGTAATTTTTATCACAAAATCATATTACTTAATATCTTCAAAAGCCATAAAAAGGTGCATCACATTTTGCCTCCATTCAACACGTCACATATATAGTTTCAATAGAACAAATTGTTATTTGATGTTGCTGTTTCAAAGATATGAAGTTGTATTTATAATATGAAGTTGTATTTATAGTATCAAAAACGTTAATGTCTCTGTTGCTCCCTGTAAATTCTTAGTATGATTTTTCTTGGGGAAAAGAGGATATGGAGTCAATCAGTTGTTCATCCAATGGCWGCAGTGGTTCTTTGGCWGTTAMAGAGAGTWATAATACACAACCTTCTTCCATATCAATAACAACAAACATTGATAAAGGTAATATTTCTCTCTCTCCTTACCTTGTTTGTTTGTTGATCTGATCATATTCCCATCCATTCATTTTACCATTCATCCATTCTATTTATGCATTCAACCATTCATTCATTTTTTCATCCATCCATCCATACTATCATTCATTCATTACTTCACCCTTCCATCTAGTTGTACATCCATTTATGTCATCTATCAAACTAAAAATTTATTTAATTAATTAATTTTTTCATTTATTTATTTGTTTGTCCAATGACATGTGACTATCCCTCCGTTTATTCCATCATTCATATATTTGAGTCTGTCTCATCATTGAATCATTTAGAATCCTTGCAATATTAATAATGTCATATTGTCATAAACTCATTTTGTCGTTTTTCCCAGGATTCATTGCTTTGCTAGCTGATGCATTTGAAGAAAAAGACCGTGCTGGTGTAACCGGGGAGGTGTCTAGAAGGACTGTTCTTCATCTTCACCCAAGTTTGGCTCCTTATAAAGTAGCCATCTACACTAACTCTGCCAATGGKAATGAACTGTCTGAAGTGAGTCAMCAATTAGCATCTGAATTGAGACAAGCAGGTGAGAACAGTGTTATTGCATGTAATAMGGGTTTCAAGAAAACAAAGGCAGGTGTTTCATCAGGTTTCCAACAAAAGAAACAGTCAAAAAAGGAACTCTCTTAARCTGATGAATTATTCACCATAAAATTAAAGTAACTGACAGACATTTTAAATGTGTTTATTTTACTTTTCTGTTGAGACGAATGTACAGAGCATCCTKTTTATGGTGTGTAATTAAGCTAGTTTTAAGTCGTTTGGCAGTTTGTCCTTTAAAAATATATTGAGAGAGCTTATTTTGATTAAACAAGGGTGTGTTTTGTTGTTGTTGTTATTGTTTCATTTTAGCCAGAATATGATGCAAAATTCATGTTATTATTTTACTACTTGACGTTTTTCTAATCTAGACTCAAAAATATTTCAGGGATTTCTACCAGCAGTGGGAATATTGCAGAAAGCGATGGAAATTCCTCAGAGCAGTTTTACGCTTACCATGATGAAATAGGTACACCATATTGTGTCTCGATCTTGCAGTCTACTTTAAGTAAYGGTGTTGTAGCATTTAGAAGTAGAGACACCACTTTGCAGGAGTTTTTACATATTTCGGACGTGTTGAAAACTTTACAAAGTCACCTAAAGCTCCTGTAAAAAAAATGACCGGAAGTAGAAAGGAACCGGAAGTTAAGAATAACTCGACCCAGATTTCCTCTCCARCACAGATGGTCGATAGGCCTTTTGCTGTACCGAGACAAGAAGACCAACTTTCGCTAAATCATGGACGAACTAGAAAATGATATCAAAATTAGCACYGTAGAGATGCACACAGCAGGCCATGCTGTTCGAATCATAACGTCCGGCTATCCTCCTATCAAAGGAGATACTATCCTTCAAAAGCGAAAATATGTCAAAGAAAACCTCGACCATCTTCGCACCACGCTTATGCACGAACCTAGAGGMCACTATGACATGTACGGCGCTCTCCTCGTTGAACCAGACMAAGAAGACGCTGATATGGCAGTGCTKTTTTTGCATAACGAAGGCTACAGTACAATGTGCGGCCATGCTGTGATTGCTCTTGGCCGCTATGCTATTGATTCTGGAATTGTGAACACTGACACCGGCGCGTCGACTATAGGAGAAATCCCGGTTTTTATTCAGTGCCCTTGTGGCATCGTGAAAGCATTTGTAGACCTCTGCGAGGGGAAGACTTCWAGGGTACGTTTCGTGTCAGTYCCCGCATTTGCGTTTGCTTTGGATGTCAAAGTTGAGACCGAAAAATTTGGGACTGTCTCCGTTGACATTGGATACGGCGGAGCGTTCTATGCCCTTGTCGATCAAGATCAGCTTAAAATGGATTTGCGGTCTTCACGGGTTAAAGAAATCACTGAAGCTGCCAGCATCGTGACGAAAGCAGTGGCTAATGCCGTAAAGCTTCACCAYCCAGACTCGGAAGATCTRGCSTTTCTCTATGGTACCATTATCACTGATGGGAAAGATCGCTATGACGAGTCTTCAGACGAGTGCACTTTCAACGTTTGCGTCTTTGCCGACGACGAGGTACCGAAATACGCTAATACTATTCCATTATTTGAATATTTATTTAAAATTACASTAGCTACGGTAGTTATTAGAAAAATGGCTTATCAAATTTCTCTCGCATTGGAATAGACATTGCACTTGGCGGCGGTGCGCGCTGTTCTTTTTAATACTGTATCCTTTGATTTCATTTCATTTTGATATTTTGCGATTCCCAGAAAAACTTTTCAGATACCAGTATTTATTTTTCATCGAGAAAATTGCCTTTTCGAGTTGTTTTTCGATTTACTGTTCATTTCAAACACACCTCGAAGGACTTGACGAAAATAGAGCAAGAATTTACACCTGCCGTTCAGCATTTGATGACATGGACTTCAATATCGACAATAATGTACTTCAAGTCTTTGTGTTTGATCCACGTATGCCCTACGGTAGATCTTTGAAAAGGCAAAAACGGCTAAAAAAGAATATGCAAAAAAATAAGTGAACAAGTATAAAATGTCCAAAGTAATTGACGCGGAAGTAGAAAAGTGCGTTTTGATGAGAAACTGAACTTGTCAAAAGAACATTTCTTCAGCATCCATTTTCCGGTGTTTTTTGTCCTTACACTCTACGGCTTTAGATATAGCTGATAAAATAATTTTTCTTTCTCAGCTTGACATTTGAAGATTAAAATTTGTGTATCCAAAACATGTTTTAAAAACATTCCAAAAATACATCTATTATTATCATTATATTTAGCAAAAKAAATAATATTTTTGTTTTTTTCTTAATAGGTTGACAGAAGCCCTACTGGTTCAGGTGTYACAGCTCGCATTGCTGTTCARCATGCCAAGAAACTCATCGGAATAAACCAAATGCGTGTTTTYCAAGGTATTRCTGGTGAGAAGTTTGGAGGAAAGGTWGTTAAGCAAACAAAATGTGGTGAATTTGATGCMGTTCACGTTGAAGTAAGCGGAAATGCCTACTACACTGGYACATCAACRTTCACTATGGAAARAGATGACCCTTTGAAACATGGTTTYCTGCTTCATTAGGGCTATTGTTTGATGAAGAAGAACTTTATCTTTTAGGTTTTGGCATTGAATCATTCTAAATTGTAAAAGGGGAGTATTTGTTTATTGAACAATTCTGTTGAATCATGAAAATACATCTTGCATTGAATCTGTTGGTATGACTAATCATTTTCATATGACCGAAAAACAACTTCTTTTCATTTCTCTATTATTATGTGTTTTTTCTATAATGTTTTTTTCTAAATTAACAATATTATATTTAAATTAACGTTTACCATTTTGGAATAAATGTTAGTAACATATGGATATTATTAATGTATACAATGAAAATATATAGAAAACTTATCATAATAGTTTAGAATATTATATTATTTATTGGTTTGTCCCAACTGTCCCATTAGAAACACAATAATAATGGAAAAATAATACTAGTATCATTACAAACAATACATTTAAATGTACAAGCAAAATAAATAATCATAAAGAATAGGCTATTTTGAAAAGATGAGATCATTATCATGTTATCAAATAATATTGTCTAATTTTCAATTATATTATATTTCAAATGTACTGTCTATTTTTAACGTTTTTCGCTCATATCAAAATGACATGATATCAATGCACATGGGATGCATATGAAGGAGAATTGGTATGACTGCAACAGCACATAACACATATAGTCTTGGTACAAGAAAAGATCAAAACTAGAGCGGATTTCGTATGAGTGGGACACCGTTACCGCACGGTTACCACACAGTTRCMRVRCCWGGCCTGCASAATTTTGGTGAACCAATGGGGCACTAGAATTTGGTTACAGTACGATTACGATCACAGTACAGTACCGTCTGTTTCCTACTCATACGAAATCCGCTCTAGAGTGTAGACATTGTATGAAAACATCATGAAACACTCACACAAACTCTCCTCTAAAATACAAGAAGCATATCTCAGACCAATAACAAGATATTCATTTTATGGTTCATAATAGTTTATTAGGAAGCAATGTAATCATTCTATAATATTATATTAATAKCAAAAATAATCAATATTTAGATAACTATAATTTTGTCATAAATTAACAATGAAACCTGCTAATAATGTACAATGAAAATAAACGTATTTTAATGATAATYTGAGGTATTGTTGTTTAATCTTGCTCATCCAGTAGGAAATAATTCTTTATTTGTCTTGGAGATCATGCAAAAATAACTGAAAGAAACCTATTGTTTTGATATAGAATTGTAGGTCAAAACAACAGATATCCTATGATACGTTTTAGTTAGACATGGCCATGCAGTATTTTAAGCTGTTTGCATTTTATCTGAGCCACAACTAAGTATCAACTGTCCTACCAATGTGGTAATAAGCTGGAGAGAGCTTCCAAAGTCCAATTTACATTATACAACTTGTTATGGACCACTTCAGGAACAAAACAAGGCAATAATGTGTAAACATCCCTAAAAAAGATGGGTGGCCTACAACTTAAAATCCATCATATCCAAGCAATGATGCATACAGTCAAGTTATTTGACAAGTTGCATCATGTAAAGTAGCCTTACAGTGCTCTATATGTCAAATATAACTTTTGAGTACATTCTTGATTTCCATGTCCTGTAGCGATTGTAATCAAAGTACACATCAAGCATCTCTTTTCCTGCAAAGGRAAACAAAATTCAAATAATAGCCACTCCTTTGACTGGATTTCTTCCAGTGGATTTGAGTTGTATTTGAGTTGTTTCTATATTACGTTGAATGACTGTTTACATCTTTCAGTATTTCACAGAAAAATATGAATACAATATAGATACAAGATAGAACACATTTTACTAACCTGCCTCTGACATTTCAAGAGGGCTTTCAACTTTAACTATGGATGGCCGCATGAACTTGGATAAAAAWTTTAATAACTGAAAGAATAAGTTACAAGTACATTGACAATAGTTTTTACATCTGTGTAATAGTTTGACAGCTTTGTTGACAGTAAATTGTATCAGTTAATGATGCCTTTTTTATTTGACATGTGGTATTGTTATTTAACAGCCAAGGGTTTAACAATTAGATATTTTATAATAAGCAACAAAACCTTTKCTCCTTGTTTATTTCCAGCAATGTTGCATCCTATAATATGTATTTTGGTGTCTTGGCAATTCAACTTTGTCATCTTGGTGCCAAGAGTTTTCCAAAACCTTTCAATATCAAAAGAGAATTGTTCAGAATGACTGCTTCTCTTATATTTGATAGTAAAGAATTAAATTTGTTTTATACAAAGTCAAGTGTAAAGTGATTAAGAGAGCATTGTATGAAAATTTTTATTTATTAGTTCTCTTGTGCCAAAGAGCATGGACTCTACACGAGATGTAAACATGTTCATTATCCAATTTTACACACCCCTGTAGATCTCAAAATGTTTACAATGATTACAATAAATTTTACCTAGACATTTCCTCATCTTGTTTAACTTTTTTCTTGGTCACCATGACACCTTTGACAGGATTAAAATAGCCTGGSCCCCCCTGTTCACACCAAAAAATTATTTATAAGTATATTATCAAATTATGCTGCAGTTATATCAAACTCTTATGAACACAGAAAAACAGTTTTTGTAAACATGACCAAATCATGAAATAATAGACTGCAAAAAGTACTTTCCAAACTCAAAAGTTATATGCAGTTTACTTACTTTACTTACAAAACCAATTGAGCGAGCTTTACTGTTAGCTTTATAGTTCTCAAGTTGATTTGATATTTCCTCTAAAAAAGAGAAAATCAAAGTAAATAAACAATTAAAAGACACTACGTAATTCATCACTGTGGTCATCATCAATCATTACTATTATTAATCATTATTATAATATATTTTTTCTTACAATAAACACTTTTTTTCAGAAAGGATTTTCTTTATATTTTCTTAGTTTCAAATGTTTTAAAACAAAATATTGTTTTAACATTAATCACAAGGATTAGATTGTTTACTGTACCTCACCTAATAAAGAATCCAACGTTGTATTTGAAAAGTCCTTCAAAAAAGAAAAGTTTCAAAATAACATATTATCTAATATTTTATAAGTGTCTTGCACTTTCAAATGTGAATTTCTGCAGGTGTTTAAAACACAATGTAATGACTGTAWAGGTCATTGTCTTTCAAATGTTGAAAAATAATCTGCATAGAAACACTTATGGTAAAAATATCAGCATTTTATCCCAATGTATATACTTTTCTGGCAGTGACTTACATAGTTTATTAAAATAACATCCTGGTTTACAATTTTCTGTAAAATATCTGATCTTGGCACATTGGAGGAGATCAACTGAAAGTAAACATAAGAAAATGAGACATAAGAACAGCATGAAAATCAGGTGCCTAATAATATTGAAGTTTTAAGCATTTTAAACAACCTACCAGAACTCTAGGAGGAATGTAGTCATCACCCATTGTCGTAAGCTCCAACTAAATACCAAAAATCAAAAATAACTATTTTTAAATGCTCCTACTATTGCTTTAATACCAAAGAAGACTAAATTAGTTGTGTCTCTGAAATCTGGTGGTCATTAGAGAGCATTTTATATCTTAAATATTTTATTGATTAATTTAATARTTAAAATCATTTCTATGATTGAACCTGTTGCTCAGTTTTCCATTTGAGGTTTGTTATGTCATCTTGATACATTTCAAAACTTTCTTTTGTTTTGTCACCTGGTAAAACAATATATACAAAACTATTGACATGTTATATCTCACAACTTTTAAYRCAAATGYTAGWTATTTCTTYACCTATTTTCATATTTTTGTCCAAYACATGAGCCTTTGGTGTTGATTCTTTCCAGGCTTTTCTGTATTCAATTTGCTGTTTATCTGATTGATCCTCATCACTATCATCATCATCATCATTTGAGGCTGTTTTTATGTGCCTTCCGTCAGGGTTGTCCAAGTGTTGACGATACTTCCTAAAGAATTATAGTTTGAACCTCAATGCAAAGACGAATCAAAAACCACACTTGACTAGATAGTGGTGAGAATAAAAACATCAAAAAACAGTTCTTTTCATAACTGAAAAAAGTTATGCTAAAATACATCTTTTACATTTACTTTTGTATTATTACGGCAGCTTTTTGTTGTTCTTCTAAATCCTTTCTGACCTGGTGCCCTCTGACATGCCTGTTAAAGAATAACGAAAACTATGAAAATGTGCAAAGAAACATGCCATGAAAATGAAAGAGAGTACTAAATATCAATAATTTCTGGTTGAATGAAAATGCTGTTGAAATAAGTCCTTTTGAAAAACTGCAAGAAATTTATGGAAACTGATATGTACATGTACGTTTGTTTATTATAATAATGGTAATTGTAAGTTTTCCTTACAACAGATATGTGTCTTACTTTTGAATTATTGATGCAGCTTTTTGCTGTTCTTGTAAATCCTTTCTGACTTGGTGCCCTCTCACATGTCTGTGTCAATAACAGAATGTAAACTTAGCAACGTTATACTAATCTTACTCTGAATGACAAAGTTTGAAATCAAATTCTACATCACACATCCTTTCAGATCTTTTAGCCGTTTCCTTTWACGAAAAATTCTACCTTTGTATAACAACTGCAGCATCATTAGGTTGAAGTGGTGTAACAATGGCATAACTGTGGCTGTTTTCTTTCTGACTGTTATTATTTATTTGT